TATATACAAACATCTCTTAAGTTTGTGTCAATAAAGGTTTATTTAAAAATTTAAAAGCGTTTTTTATAACGAGTAGAAATAATATTTATTGTACATTGTTCACACTTTTTTGTCCATCACAATGAAAACAACTCATTACAAACTTCATCCACTGAATCTTTAATTTAAATAAATATAATTCAAACTAAACATTGTTATTAAACAGCTCAGGAATAATAACATAAATCTTCATCTTCAGTTCAAGCTGTTATAGAGATGTTATGTTATGTTTAAAACTTATATTTTGCAAAAATAATATTATAAAAGTAAAAGACAACACTCTGGTCAAATCTTTCATGAATATAGTTCAACATATTGTCTGATTTATTTTCCATTAAGGCAGCATGATAAAACACAGTTAAGACACGATGACATCAGTGGTCTGCATACCTTTAGAAGAATCTTTATTTTATATTTCATAACTAGATTTAATGTGCAGATTTAATGTAACATTTACAGTCAGTTTAAAGGTTTTAAATACGATTTTACATTTATCTCTTTCTCTCTGATGTTTAAACCACATTTAAAACATCAGAGAAGACATGAAAGAAGCATCCTGGTATTATATTTTTATTCCTGTAATCAGTCTTTATAATCTATTTATTCTACTGTGTTCTCAGGTGCAGCTCCAAAGCCCTCCGTCGCATCACTTAAAGAAACAAAGGACTGGTCTCTGCTGCAGTGTGAAGCTCATGGTAACCCACAACCTGCAGTAGAATGGCAGGACAGTGATGGAAACAAACTTCCTGCTGACGAGCCAACGTTCTCAGTGAGAGGAGGCAGCTTCTACGTTAAACTCAACATCACCGTGACCAAGACGGACAATTATCGCTGTGTAGTGACTCAGAGGACCATCAACCATCAGATCCACGCTGAGACCTCTGTGCACATCAGTGGTGAGCTTCTTTATATAGATTATATAATATATATTCACTTTTACATTCAATTCATTCTAATAGTTTAAGTGTTACTTTAAAAATAAGTGACGTGGAGGCAAGATTCAGGAATGAAACAGGAGACTCAGAGACAGTAAACACGTAACAAAAAGAGTCCTTTAATAAACAGGGTAGCTTTAGACAGCTAAAGGGGGGCGAGGTCAAACTCAACAAGAGATTCCTCCCGGTCGGGGTCTTTGTTCTCCGGTCTACAGCCAGTGTGAGACGATTCCTCCGTCCTGTGTGGGCAGAGCAGAGGAGAGCGCCGAGTCCGCTGAATTACCTCTCGTCTGCTGAAGCTCCTCTCCAGAGGTTCAGGAGATCCTCGTAGTCTTCTGCCCATTCTGTCTGCCGCTGCTGCTTCACAGCCCTGTGAACATATGCTCCCTCTAATCACCTGATAGGCTGCAGGTGTGACCAATGCCACGTGCCTAGTGGCTGCAGCACCTGCACTGGATAGTAGACTCCCTCTATCACCTCCCCCACCCTGAGCTTGGGGATCCGCCTCCTGTGCTGTGTCTGCTCGGCTTTTCCCCTGGTTTGCCACAGTGTGTTCAGACTGAACTCAGAGTGAATTGTGGTGAAGACGTCACACTTAAACTCTGAATACATACAGTGATGTTTCTGGTAACAACTTGATTCCATGAAGTCACACTAAGTGTTTCCTGGATCACGTTAACTGGTGGAACAGTGCAGCTTCAGGACTGAACCACGACGAGTGAAAATAAATAAATAACTTTAATTCTTCTCCAGTGAATGAAGCAACAACTGGCTCTTCTCTCAGCTCAGTAAACAATTATAATAATAATTATAATAATAATTTGAAAGTTGTTGGTTTGTAAATGTGTCAGAAGTCTGAAAACAGGAGTTAACAGATGTTAACAGATGTTACACCATCAGGAGAATCATGAATGTGATCACATGACTTTAAAGTCATGTGATCACATTCGTGTAGAGAAATAAACAGTCAGATCATGTAAACAGACTCACAATGTTTGTTTGTTTAGTTTGTATTTATTCTCCTTTATTTATGTAGATGGACCTGATGACTTATGATGACCTCATTTAAGATGTTTCTCACTAAAAAGGAGGCGTGTCCTATCTGTGATGCAATGAAACATTTTGTTTCTAAACTAAATGTAAAGAAAATAAATTCCTGTATGTTTAAGTGACAGTTTAAGTTTTAGGCATATTTTGATAGTTATCGGGATAATAATGTGAATTATTTTGACAGGATAATCATGACATTATATTTTATATTGTCTCATGTCTAAACATGTCAGCAGTGTAATTTACAGATTTACAGTTGGGTATAATAATAATAAATAAATAAATTTAATTCTTCTCCAGTAAATGAAGAAACTACTGTCTCCTCTCAGCTCACTAAATAATCATAATAATAATATGATCATTTGTTCTGCTGCAAATTAATCTCTAAATATTAATAAGTAAATATTACAAAGTAATAAATACCTCAAATGCCATTTAATGAATGAACAAATAAACACTTTGTATCAGTGAAAATGTAAAACATCTTAATGTGACTCAGTTCTCCTTCAGGTTGTAAACATGAATTATCATTTAATAATTGTAGTTATTGTGAATATTAAACCTTCAGAAGCTGGTGAAGATCTTCTGAATGTATTTCAGATTAAAGATGAATTCAGATTCATAAATCATGATTCACAGCTCAATAATTCATCAATCAAACAGATTCATCAGATCTTTAGTGAGCTGGAACAGAAGAATTGTATTCAGACTATTTTATTCATAAGAGATGTGAAACAGGAGCCTTTATGGAGGATCAACCACACTGATCAGGTGTACCTAATGAAGTGGATGCTGCTCGTTAAAGACCTTTTAATATCTGACTTTAATAGAAAACACATTCACGAGATCACTGAAAGAGTTTAACGTCTTCTGTTAATAAACGAGATTAAATAGTTTCACTTTTAGTGAAAGTTAAATGTGTTTAAATATGAGATTATCTGTCAGATGATGATGGGATGTTTGATTTGAGCTTCTCACTTTCTCTCTGTCTTTAACTGTCTCTTATTGTTTCTATTGTTTCTTTTATCCTCACAGGTGCAGCTCAGGAGCCGTCCGTCACTTCTCTTGATGAAACAAAAGATGGAATGTTGTTACAGTGTGTCGTTCGAGGTGCTTCTCCAGACCTGAGGGTAGAGTGGGAGGACAGTGATGGAAACAAACTTCCTGCTAATGAACCAACGTTCTCAGAGAGAGGAGGCAGCCACGACGTCATCCTGCAGACTACTGTGACTCAGACCGGCCGCTATCGCTGCGTCACCACAGATCAAACCAACAAACGCACTTGGGCTGAGATCTACGTGTCTGTTAATGGTGAGATTCTTCCTCTCATTCCATATTTAATTTAGTTCTTCATGCTTTATTAGTTTTCAACAATGTTGTCGTTACTGAACTCAAAGTGAACTGTGAGGAAGATGAAGATGTGCTGTTGAGTCACACATGAATCATATAAACCACATGAGGACTCAAAGATGTAGATATGAGTTATTGATGTTTAGTTTTTTATTTCTGAACTAGAAACTAAACTTAAAAACTAAACTAAAAACTAAGATCAAATTTAACTCAAATATAAACAATCACACCTCCTGCTACTAGTCTGACAACATGGAGGCAAAGTGAAGCTTCAACTACAACACTTTGAGTTTATTATTATTATAACACTTTGAGATTATTATTATTATTAGTATAACACTGAGTTTATTATTATTATTATTATTATAACACTTTGAGATTATTATTATTATAACACTTTGAGATTATTATTATTATTATTATTATTATTATTATTATAACACTTTGAGTTTATTATTATTATTATTATTATAACACTTAGAGTTTATCATTATTATTATTACAACACTTTGAGTTTATTATTATTATTATTATTATTACAACACTTTGAGTTTATTATTATTGTTATTATTATAACACTTTGAGTTTATTATTATTGTTATTATTATAACACTTTGAGATTATTATTATTTTTATTATAACACTTTCAGATTATTATTATTATTATTATAACACTGAGTTTCAATGAGAGTCACTGATGACCAACATGAAGTTGACTTCACTGCAGCAGCTTGTTTCTTCATTAAAAGTAGAAGTGAGAGAGAAGTCGGCTTCATGTTGAGACTTGAAGTCAAACTGGAGATGAAAGAAGAGTGAACGTTTGCAAATGTGTCAGAAGTCTGAAAGCAGGAGTTAACAGATGATAATCATGACAATATGTTTTTATATTGATAAATTTAAATTTTCTGTGATTTAATGGCAATAAACGGAAAAAAAAGATGCAGAAATAACTACGTAATGATGCAGATTTATAAAAAATCAGAATTCATGTTTAGATAGTTCTCTCCACAAGACGACGAGATAAATCACTTTTAAAATACATGTTTTCTGAATGGAGTCTGGATCGATCGGTGCTATGCTAAGCTAACATTGTAGCAGCTCCATCAACACTCAACATAACATCATCCAGGCGTAAATACGGCAGCGTCTATTCATTGTTTGTACCATAGACAGTCTCTGGTTTACACACACACATTTATACACATAGTTTGGTCTCTGCTGATATGAGGTATCGTAGCGCTCTGATATTTATTTCCTGATTCAACAACATCAGTGATGAAGGAGGAGCATCTCAACGCTGATAGGTTTTAAAGACACAGCGTCACAAGAATTTGGGTCAATTTCACGTCATTAGAGTCTCAGATTTAATAAATAGAACAGGTTTCAGTTTGATGATATTTGTTCTGTTTCTCCTTTTAGGATCCAGATCAGAGCAAGACTCAGGTGAGTCTGTGATGAACTCTTTATACACAAACATCCTTTTGTTTTTAAAGGTTTGTTCATTTTAAATCCACTAGAGTTTGTATTTAATCTTCACTCTGTCTTCACTGTGGGAGAGAAACAAGACTTTATATCTATATGATATGAGACTAGATATCAAAGATTTAATATCTCATAAGGGTTTTTCTTTTAAGGGCTGAACTATAGTAAAGTGATCCAGACTTCTAGTAGATTCTATTATTTATATTTACTCACATAGTCATTAAATCCACATTACTTTAATCCACCTGTTAAACTGTGAAGATGATGATGATGATGATGATGTCTCTTCTCTTTCAGTTTCCTCCCCTGGATGGATGATTGTTGCTGCAGTTCTCGGTTCTGTTTTATTTGTTGGTGTTCTTGTAGCTGTGTTCGTATACTTTAAAAAAAGTAAGTTGAAAAGTATTTCATGTATTGTGTTCAACAGACTCTTGATCTCTTCTTCATGTGTTAGAGTTCTGTGATTATTGATCCATGTTGAATTAACCTGGTAGTCTCTCAGTTATCTGATGTTGTTTGATTTATTCTGACGGTTTGATGAATCAGTGAAGTCTGATGAGACCCGGTCAGGTAGAACACCTGGACCTGGATCTGGACCTTTCTGCCCCTTTAGACTAAAACACAACCATAGAGTTTCAAAATAAAACGGCGGCCATTTAACACGTCTCTGTTTTAGACACAATGAGTCAAAGTTGTTCTTCAGCTGGAAAAATACAGAAACAAACCAAAGAGGTCAGATGCTGGTCTGAGATCAGTTCCTGGATCTAAACTCAGGAACTCAAAGTCCTTTTTGTGATTTCCTGTTTGAAACATTTGAAACACTCAAAGACTTCATGTTTTTAGATATTTATCTTTGAGTGTTTTTCACAGATGAAACGTGTAAAA